TAGGCTGGAGGTCAGGAGGTCGAGGCGGCGAGGAGCGAGACCTCTACTAAAAAAAAAAAAAAAGAAAGAAGCCGGGGGCGCGGAGGCTCACGCTGTCATCCACAGCACTCTGGGAGGCGGAGGAGGAGGATAGCCTCGAGGTCAGGGAGTTGGAGGCCAGCCTGAGCAAGAGCGAAGACCCCGTCTCTACTAATAAAATAGGAAGGAAATTAATCGGCCAATAGATATACATAGAAAAAACGTTGGTGGCGCATGCCTGGAGCCCAGCTACTCGGGAGGGGAGGCTGAGGCAGAGGATCACTTGAGGCCAGGAGTTGGAGCTGCTGTGAGCGAGGCTGACGCCCACGGCGCTCACTCTAGCCTGGGCAACAACAAGAGTGAGACTCTTGTCTCAAAAAAAAAAAAAGAAAGAAAGAAAGAAAGAAACGAGCGGGCGTGGAGGGCGCATGCCTGGAGTCCCAGCTACTCAGGGAGGGAGCGGAGGAGGGAGGATCAGCTAGGTCAGGAGTTGGAGGCCAGCCTGAGCATAGAAGCGAGACCCCGTCTCTACTAAAAAAAAAAAAAAAATAGAAAGAAATGAGCTGGCCAACCCGACCTCGAGCTCCATCCTCCCGCCTCGGCCTCCTCCCCGAGTGCCGGGATGACAGGCGCGAGCCTCCCGTCTGTTTCTAAACACCCTAAAGGCGAGCGCTGCGGGGCGCGGAGCCGCCGGGGTTGGGGTTCGCAGCAGGGCTGATCCGCTCTCCCGGCCTCCTCCGCTCTGCAGAACCTCGACCTCGGAGCGCAGTAAGTGCAAGGTGCTCTACGACTCGCAGCTGCTGTTCCACCAGCGACTGTACGCCGACCTCGAGACCATCCTCTACCACGTGCACCTGTTCCAGCCCCTGGCCCAGCTGATGCGGCACACGGCGCTCTACCTGCGCAAGGCCCTGCCCCGGAGGGCCTTCCAGGCCCTGGCCAGGTGAGGCCGCCTCCCCCCGCGGCCTCCCCGAAGGGCTCAGGGATCGGGAGTCACTGGGGGACTCTTTTGGCCCCGGACGTGGGAAGCTTTGAATTTCCGGAGGCCGAGGCGGGAGGATCGCTGGAGGTCAGGATCGTTCGAGGCCGGCCTGAGCAGGAGCGAGACCCCGTCTCTACGTAAAAAATAGAAAATTAATTGGCCAACTAGAAATATATAGAAAAAAAAACGAGCAGGGCGTGGTGGCGCATGCCTGTCGTCCCAGCTACTTGGGAGGGAGGCTGAGGAGGGAGGATCGCTGGAGGTCAGGAGGTCGAGGCCAGCTTGAGCAAGAGCCAGACCCTGTCTCTACTTAAAAAATAGAAAATTAATTGGCCAACTAGAAATATATAGAAAAAAAAAATTAGGGCATGGTGGCGCATGCCTATAGTCCCAGCTACTCACAAAGGAGGCCGAGGCGGGAGGATCGCTGGAGGTCAGGAGTTGGAGGCCAGCCTGAGCAAGAGCGAGACCCCGTCTCTATGTAAAAAATAGAAACAAAATGAATTGGCCAAATAGAAATATATAGAAAAAAAAATTAGGGCATGGTGGCGCATGCCTATAGTCCCAGCTACTCAGAAAGGAGGCTGAGGCGGGAGGCTCGCTGGAGGCCAGGAGTTGGAGGCTGCTGTGAGCGAGGCTGACGCCACGGCACTCCAGCCCGGGTGACAGAGCGAGACTCTGCCTCAAAAAAATAAAATAAAATAAAATAAAAGCCGGGTGCGTTGGCTCATGCCTGTCATCCCAGCACTCTAGGAGGCCAAGGCTGGAGGCTCGGTCGAGGCCAGGAGTTTGAGGCCAGGGTCAGCAAGAGCGAGACCCCGTCTCTACCAAAAAACATTAGAAAGAAATGAGCTGGACAACTAAAAATATATATACAAAAAAAATGAGCCGGGCGTGGAGGCTCACGCCTGTATTCCCAGCCGCTCAGAAAGGAGGCCGAGGCTGGAGGCTCGCTCGAGGTCAGGAGGTCGAGGCCAGCCCGAGCAAGAGCGAGACCCCGTCCCTACTACAAATAGAAAGAAATTAATCGAACGAGTCAAAATACATAGAAAAAAAAATAATAAGCCGGGCGTGGTGGCGGCGCGTGCCTGTCGTCCCAGCCGCTCAGAAAGGAGGCCGAGGCAGGAGGCTCGCTC